TGGCACACAGTTGGGACAGACAATTCTGTTCTTGCCCCACCACATGTGGCCCCCAAAAGCTGGAAGCAGGAGGAACATAAACTTACAGGCCCAGCATTCCGAGCCAAAACTACTCTGGAGATGCTCATGGGAAGGGGACCCAAGGAGGGTCTCCCCTCCGACAGCCTCAGCTAGGGTGGGGAGCAGGAAGTGCGCTCCCTACCTCGCTGTGGGTATTGAGTCTCACAGATTTGTCATTCCATACACAGCTTCTCTCTGCACAGCCCACACAGCTAATCCCTGTACTATATTTCTCTCAGTTTTCCCTCCTCCACCCACAGTTCTGCTGACTTCTCTCCACACAGGAGAGACAGAACAGCTGAGGAAACAGCCGCGCGGTGGAAAATTTTTGAAAGTGTTTTGAGCCCACCCAACCTGAGGAGAGCATTCAAAGAAAAACAGGAAAGGGAGAGTAGGAGCTCCCTCAGCCCCCACATGCAAGCCAGGGATTGTCACTCCCGCCTACCCCGAGTCCCCACAGGCGCTGACTGCTGGGACCAAGCCATGGTGCCCACACACCAAAATATGCAAAAGTACTTTCTGTGAGGATGTGGAATGGAGGCAATTGCTCGGCCATTTCAGACATTACGTCATGGACCTTGGGGGGCACAGCAGGCTCATTCCATTCATATGCCTATCATAAATTCAGCAGTACCTTTGGTATTAAATTGGAATTACCTAAAGGCCATCATTCTGGGAGAATGAATGCAGCTCTGAATGTGGATGTGTTTCTGTTCTGTAGGGTAACCAGTGCCCTCCCTGTGTGTGTGTGTGTGTGTGTGTGTGTTAGGCTCATTCCATTCATATGCCTATCATAAATTCAGCAGTACCTTTGGTATTAAATTGGAATTACCTAAAGGCCATCATTCTGGGAGAATGAATGCAGCTCTGAATGTGGATGTGTTTCTGTTCTGTAGGGTAACCAGTGCCCTCCCTGTGTGTGTGTGTGTGTGTGTGTGTGTGTTCATATTACTTTTCCTTTTTTGCATTCTTTTCATTTCCTTTCAACTTCTCTTCCTGCTACTCCAAACCAGAGCTTTTAAGGTCGTCTGTCTTTTCAGGGATTGGGGGTGAGAAAGAGATGTGAACACATTTATTTCTTGGTTCTCTTTAGTTCTCCCTCTCTCCTTTGCTGGGTATTCTAGCCAGTTAGATGACTTGAAGTTGGCAAGGGAAAAAGGAGACTGACTAATCCCATCACTCATTTATTCATTCAACAGACCTTGATCGAATAGCTACACAAATAAGGTCCCCATCCTCAGCCAGTCAAATGGAGCCAAATCAAAAAGAAGTAATAGTTGATCCTCCTTCCTCTGCAGTGACTTCTGGATCAATTTTTGGATCTGATTAAGTATAGAGCTTTTGCATAGAACCAAAAACTTGTGTAAGGATTGTGTAACCAAGGGATAAGTAAGATTATAAGTGCCCTTCCCTATGAGTGATCCATTGAAAGGTTTCCACACACAGACTAGTCCTATCTCCTAATTGAGTATCCAAGCATTAAAATGAACTCATTCACCATTCTTTACTTTGTTGGCTCAGCTTATTTTTTTCCCATTTTGAATAAAGGATTACCCTCAAAGCTAGCCTAACTGTTTTTACTGGTGTCAGTACTATGTTTTAAATGCTAATTGGTATTTACCCATTCAAGTAACACATATTTATTGAGTAGCTACAATATGCCAGATATTGTCCTAAGCACTGAAGTTGCAAATTTACATAATGATCCCTTCATGGAGCCAACAAGCGAGTGGGATCACACAACTCTTGGCTTGCTATTCTTTCCAATACACAAAATAGCTTTGATTATGCACTGCTATGCAGAAAACCAAAGTGAAGAGTGTGGTTCTGATAGAATGGAAAAGTAGGGATTGTTTGCATTTGTTGACTACAGGTGATCAAGTTTGAGAGTCTCTGTTTACCAATTCTGCTCTAACTATCTACGGCTGACACTGTAGTGCTTGAGCAATATACATTATAGTTAAAACATTAGTTTTATAGAGTTTGGAACCATCAGACCCTGTAAGGAACATTTTAAAAATTGGTGGTAGGACTAAATGGTCAAAAAGCCTAAGACACATGGCCTCTCCTAAGGAAGAGAACGTTCCCTCCTTCCTGAACTCTTAAATCGGAGAAACAAAAGAGGTACAAATGCCTTTTGCCAGTCCCAGACCTCTGAGATTAAGGATGAATTATTTTACAATCACTTGATGCCAGCCTCGGGTATAAGACATTGAGACTCCTTGTATTGATGAGATGGTTCTGACATGGGGTGTCAGCAACAGACTTAGCAGATGAATAGGGTACTGATTTGAGGCCAAAAAAATTGTGCTTGCTTCAAGAAATTATCTTTTGTCAGACTCAGCGAGGATCCAGAGGCTGGAGAATTATCCCAGGACAGTGAATTGGACATACCACTCCACCTCCTGGCACTAAGGGGTCTTTTAGCACCTAATTGGAAAACAGCTCCATCTCTAACACAGCTCCAAACTATCAACAAGGCTCTGCATGTGGAATTTCCTCTCACTTGTAAACTTGCTGGACTGTATCCATTCGATAACAAAGGATCCTTGTGTTGTTCCATAACTGCTATAAACTTCTTCTTACCCAGCCTCCAGATGCTCTTCTTTAACAAAAAAATAAAAACGAACCCACTGGCAAAATCTCAAATAGAATAAACTAATGACAAACCTTATGTTTTAATAAGCTCAACTTTTGTCTTAATGAAATTGGTGGATGGTCATTTTTTTCCCTACCAATGGAACTGACACTGGTTTCTTTGGCTTTGATAGGATATGTTTGGGACACATTGTTCATTGTTGATATCAGATGAACCTTTGTTTGTTTTGTTTTGTTTTGAGGGCCTTAGGATGGCCAGGGAATGAAAAACATTAATCAGTGGGGTTTGAATGTTACTTCATTCTCTCTTTAGACCTGTTTTTCATGTGACAAGGGACATTAAGGACACACAATAATTCCCCGTTGTCAGGCTGTTGAGTCTGTAATCACACCGGTTTTAGAACTGGGGGAAAGAATAAGACAGATCTGAGTTTGAATCCTGACTCCAAACTCTCACTCCATCAATTAATGCCTTGGCTACATGTAATCACCCTGAATCTCATTTAATAGAGAGTATTACCTCCCTTCCAGGACTGTTGAGGGAGTTAAATGCGATTTAGCACAGTTTCTGGCATTTTGAAGGCCCTCAGCTGATGCCATTTCCCCTTCTGTTCTCTCGCTTCCTTCTCCCTGTAGCCACATTTGTAAGATGATATCACAGTCCCCTCAGTGAGATGGCTACTAGGTTTGTGTTTCCAGATTTCTGCTGATTTAAGAATCCAACTGTGCTGAGATTATTTATGCAAATGCCAGCTGGAGACTGATGCCATAATAAGGATGAGTCATTTCAGAGCCTAGACTAACAGCCTGATCTGCCTCAGAAGGAACTAGGTCTTCCTCACTGATGGTAGAGAATGGTGGTAGAGATGGCTGGGGACCCGGGCTCCTGATCCAGTGTTCGAATAACGTTAAGGGTTCTTTGTAAAGAAGGTTCAGGACTCCCTTAACTGACATTAAACAGGAGTTAGCAGCTTAGACTTGAAAATCTAACAAATTGGGGTTGAATCCTTATTGGTACTCACTAGCTGAGTAGCCTCTCCAAGTGTCTATTTTCTCCGACTTCTTATGAATAAATAAGGTAGCATGCATAAAGCATTTAGGACAGTGACTGGCACATCATAAATACTCAATACAAGTCAGTTATAATCTCTCTGTTGTCTCTCTCTCTCTTCCCCCTTTCCCTCTCCCTTCCTTTTCCCCATCCTGATCAGAACTCACCTCTCCTCTATCTGCTGATTATTGAAGTCTGCCTTCCAGCAGTTGGTACATTAGTAATGGAGATGTTTTCTTGTACATTTACTATGTTCTCATTTCTGCTGAAATGCCTACATCCCACCCATACACACCCAACTCAACATTAATTCATTTTATTGATCATTATTTTGTGAAGCCTGTTTTCAGAAACTTGAAAGAAACTATAATTATTGCTCAGTTGTATGAAACCTCACAGTATAACTAAATAAATAGTTGTTGATTGGTCATGAAGACAGCCAGGAGCTTAAATAATACACTTTATTAAAAAGCTGTCTAATTTCATACCAGTATTTCTAAGTTCCATATCTTACCAAAATAGTTTATCCTGGTAAACTTAGTTTAAAAAAAAAGCCAGAAATGTCTCTATCAAAATACAAATATTAGTAATTATGATCTGAATATTCATTATGGAATGTGAAGTTGCCCTACTGCCATGGATTGGAGGTTAAGAAAACACCATCTCAGTAAATAAATTAACATTTATCAAATGCCCCCTGGATATACAGCCCTTTTTTGAAATGTTTTAGCTTCATAATTTTAGTGAGAGAGCTTCACATTTCTTTTTTTCTTGGAAAAATCTCCTTAGACTCTTCAGGCTCTTGGAGAGGCAGGTATGTCTCTGTGATAATATATATGTAATTACCTCCTTTGTATTACCAACATATCATGAAAACATTTAGATTTACATTATATACAAGCTCACAATTAGTTTACTGAGTCAGGTGGTATCTTTTCTGATATAACTACTAAAATGTACATAAAATATAGATAAATCCTGTCTAATGATTCAAGCTAAATATACATCATAAAATGTTCTCTTTTATTAAAATTTACATATATTTTTCTTACAGGGAGTTATTATGCTGTATTGTGGCCTGTGTTTTATTACAAACTTGGAATTCATTGATGCATAGTGAGAGTTGCAAATCAAGTCAACAACTTAATTTGCTCGGCAGGATTTTAGGAAGCTCTTCTCCCTCTGTGAGCAGAAGCTCAGAGGTTAGCTTAGGGCCTGGAGCTAGGTTCCTGGCACCCAGGGCTCTCCCTATGGAGAGGTGGGGTCTCTCTCTGTGGAGAGGGATCCTTACCTGAGGCCCTCGCCCTCTGGAGAGTGCTGTCTGCAGTACTCCAGAGTGTAGGTCTCAGGACCCTCTGGGTTGGCAGGCCGCCATCGGATGGTGGCTGTGTTCCAACACACAGTACAGTCCTCAGCTCGGATCACAGGTGTGGAGGGTGCTGCCAATAGAGAACCAAGTCAGCTGTGGAATAACAGATGCCAGCTCTGCTTCCCTGGTATACAGGGAAGAATACTGCATCATGATTTTATTTTAATTTTTTATTAAAAAGTACATTTTTGGGGAGTCTAAAATCCAAAAGATATAAAAATTACATAGTGAAAAATACCAACAGTATTCTTAAACAAACTGGGACAAATTGTTTTAAAATTCATATGGAACCACAAAAGACCCTGAATAGCCAAAGCAATTCTGAGAAGGAAGAATAAAGCAGGGGAATTATGCTCCCTGACTTCAAGTGCTACTACAAAGCCACAGTAATCAAGACAATTTGGTACTGGCACAAGAACAGACCCACAGACCAGTAGAACAGAAGAGAGAGTCCAGATATTAACCCAAACATATATGGTTAATTAATATATAATAAAGGAGCCATGGACATACAATGGGGAAATGACAGCCTCTTCAATAG